GTTTTATGTTTACGCGGCGCTATGCAACGCAACGCGTAAAAAGACAGTATAAGTTATTATAATCAGTAATTATGTCCTCACTGGATGCAACAAATGCCTCGTTTGTAATGGGTTTTATTGGTGTTGTCGCATCGCGCCGGGACACATGGAAACACAGTATGGTAGGGGCATAACATTTCCGTCACACGCTTGAGGTATTCGGCCAATCACAACACACTGGATAGCTGGCCAATCACAGCAGACCTCGCTTTTCAGACCGATGAGCTTTGTAAAAATCAACACATTTCAGAAAGGCGGGGCATAGAGGAATAAACAATAATGTACAGTATGTGGAAAATAATGTGTTTTTTGAACCTTAAACCACATAAACACATTTCATTACACCAAATACACAAAATAATGTTCTTTTTAGCAACATCATATGACCCCTTTAAGAAAATAAAGATCTCTTATAGATTAGTTTTGAATGACAAACAGCTGATTAATGTAAAAGTATTTGCATGTATGACAATTCCCCTGCAGCCTACAATGATTTAAATATATAAATAAAAAAATATGTAAATAACTTAAAGGATGCTTAACAAAGAGCTAAAGTTATCTCTCAAAAAGTAGTCTTTTATTTCAGTTGAGTAGTTATAGGTGAAATATACTTCATCTCTGTTTGTTCTCTGTGTTCTTAAGTAGGCTATGTCCAGTGTTGGGAAGGTTACTTTGGAAATGTAGGTAACAGATTACAAGTTACCCTATATTTAAAATGTAATAAGTAGTGTAACTATTTAAATTACTTTATTAAAGTAATGTAACTAATTAAATTTGATCATTTTTTGACTACTTTTCTACATTTCTAATGAATGTTTTCAGCTGTTAATCATTTTAAAACATTTAAACCAGGCAGGGTTAACCTTACAGTCGTACTAAATGCTGATTACTGTCAGACTTTCAAAATCCTCAAAAATCCACTTGAATTAAGATTATAAAAAATGTAATTGTATAGCACAGCCACCAAAATCAGACTTTAGCACCTCTTTTTTACTTTGAGATCGTTCTGAGGATAAATACAGATTTAAAATCATCAGATATAGTTTAATAGCTATGATACTGTTTTTGAAATCTTTGCATATGAAATATGTCAGGAAACACTGGCACCTAACAATGCATTGGAAAAAAACAGTTAATCTTAAAAAAATAAAGCATATAGGCTACATCAACCCAAATAGTAAATAAAACAGTTATCAAATAAGCATGTGTCCTATTCTGTCCTAAACTCCTGAAACATTGATGTCTCATTTCGAGCTGTCAAAGCATTTTTGGAAATAAATCAATTAAATCTGTGTGTGTGTGTGTGTGTGTGTGTGTGTGTGTGTGAAAATATTCAGACATAACCCCTTTTGTAATAGTAAACATTTTCATTAGTAACTGTAATTTAATTACACATGTTTTTTATCAGTAACTGTAACAGATTATAGTTATATTTATTTTGTAATTAAATTACGTAACTCCGTTACATGTAACTAGTTACTCCCCAACACTGGCTGTGTCGATATTGTACTACAAATGATTCAGTTAGAAAACAGCGGTCCGAACGAATAGAACCGAATCGCAAATCGATTCGGCCAATTCATTGAAAAGAACCGACTCAGGCACCACAGCACCCCTGAACGAACCGTACGAATGTGTCTGTGTTCGTTTCTCACCCGGATTGGGGCGCAGTGCAAAGTTTGCACTCCACTCAGACCCTTATGACTTTGTGTAATATCACTCATTACTCATTACATTAATGAAAGGAGGAAAAAGTAAATGAAACAAACATTTCCACTGTGCCCTTATGTGTAGCTATAAAACATTCAAAATCTAATTCCAGTAAAAAAAAAAAAAACGTTAAAATAATAATTTGCAATACTTATAAATAAAAAAAAAACAAAAAAATTAAGAAAACATTAAAAACATTGAAATAAATAAAACAATCCATTTACCTTTCCGACGTGATGGTGTACATTTTTGCGCCGTTGTCCAAGGCAAAACGGATCTTTTCTGGATCATTTTTGACCATGGTTTTAGTTTGCCTTCACTTCACTTCTTTATCAAACGTTTAAAATATGGGTTACTCCTATCTGAAATGCTAAAATATCGATAATAAATAATAATAAAAAAGGCGTTAAACTTTTCCTGTCACAGTGCCTGCATCATCTTCAGGAGGTAAAGCGCTGATATCTGAGGCTCAGTGCAAAAGCGCTGTTATTTGAAGCCTTGTGACTGCGAACCGTGTGCAAACAGTTTCTGATTAAACTATGATGTGTTTTTCTTATACAAACCACAATAGCATCCTTTAGGATCATTCAATCTGGAGATATAGTGGAGGACAATAACTCGACCATTTACATGAACGAAGTAAACTATTTTTGAACTAAAACTTTCTCCAAGCTGATGTGGTAAATGTTAAAATTGTTATTTGTAATTTTAAAATGTGATTATACCAAAAGAGTACAGGAACCAAATATTACAATTGTAACCCGTCTTGTATAATATGCAGGAGGTATAAGTCTTAATATTTGGAGCGCACAGAAAAAGCGGATTTATCTGAAGCCTTGTGACTGTGAACCGTGTGCAAACTTTCAGGCTGCTTGCAACTCCAGACTGTGATGATTGACACTGAAAGAGCCCAAGAAAACTGACCTTTTGCAGAGACAATCAGTTACCACGTCCTTGAAGAGCTCTTACGCATTCAGTAGCCTAAGTTGATTAGGTTTAAATGTTTGACTAATTTAATCACTTTAATTGTAGGCTACATTGTACTTTCCAAAAACGTCATAAAGACTATTCAAATTATGAATTTGATGCCAGTCCTGAAGGATACTAATGGAAATTTCACATCCCATGACAAAAAACATAATTGAATACATAATTCTCAATGTCTTACCCTCCCAATACGTTTAAAAAAACAAGGAATTTTAAGAAAAAAACTTCTCTTAAGGAAAATGTCCAGTAGCAAAGACAAAATGCAAAACACGTCCAGATGATCCTCTTTCAACAGCATAGTGAGAATGTGGATTAAAATGCAGTTTGTGAAAACATACATGCTCCTTTTCACTTTTATTACACTCATTGAATAACAAGTAAACGGATGATTTTATTCTTTGCCTTCAGCTTTATTTGGCTCAGACCAACACATTACTTACAAAGGCTGATGTTAAAATGTACACTTGCACTAAATAAGTTAAAAGTTGTGGTTTCACAGGCAATGAGTGGCCCCTTCGGATCCTAGGAAACGGCTGTAACTAGTAGTTTGATTCTTTTCATCACAGATGACCAATGAGGAAGAGACCATACAGTAAAACGCACATAAACACTAATGCTTCAACCAACAAACCCATAGGGACAATGAACAATTTAATCATCTTTACCAAAGCACTGTTTCTAGATGAAAAAGGGGACAAGAAGACAGATAACGTATTTGAATTTGTTTGATCAATGGTGTGAACGACCGCTGACCTTTTGAGGCATCTGAAATTGTGTTTCAGATAGGTTTACTTCTTGGTCATGATTCCATAATTACAATGAAATAAACCTAAAGAGATTAAAATCTGAATATTACAAGGTATACTCTACTATTGGAGCAATGTATGCTGGTAAGCACAAACCCCGAAAGGGAAAACATCTCTTTGCTCACTGCAAAGCTCTTATAACTACATTAACTATAGCACATGTAACCTTCAGTTTACAAAAGGGGTCCGTTGATATGACTGCCGCACTAAAATACCGCAGCTGATTATAAGATGCTGCACTGAAATGAATATTCACTGCAAAAATAGAAAAATAACATCACCACAAATCTGGAGATCTGAAGTACTATGAAATGAGTAAGAGAGGAGCTGGAGAGAAACCTACAGACTGAAGAACAGATGGGTATTATCAAACCAAACTGCCATATAATGTCTGTTTGTAAAGCAATTTACCATTGCAGATGTTTATCTGTTGAGTAGGACGTCTATTTTAACTTTTGGTGACTTGCTTTTATGGAAGCTTCCAAAACAAAGCAATAAAAAAGGAAAAAATCAGTTGTTCTACTGACTCATCTTGTTTTTCAAGAACAACGTCTATCATTTAAATGACTTCATTGATTCCAATGCACTTGAATGTGGGTGATCAGATGTCCTCTTTTTCCCAGACATACTGGCCAGGATGTCTAAATGGCCTAAAACATCTGAATTTTGGCTTCATTTTCCTATTGACATGCTCTTTACATTCCGCACACGTGTATTTGCACTGCTTTGATCATTTTCTGTAGTTCTCACCTTGGTCGATTATGTACAATGCCTGCACAATGAGAGCAAGTCAATAAGAAAAGCAAGCCAAAACCCCGACATTTTAGGCAATTTAAAAATCCCAGCCAGGACGTGTCCAGAATGGTCACCCTACTCGAACAATACTTTTTCCATTACAATGGGGAACAATGAATTCAAGTGATGGTGCTCATCAGTGAAACACTCAGGCAGCCATGGACTGCATATTGGACACATCCACTAACAGTATAGTGGCTAGGTGATGTCAACTCTTAGAAAATAAAAAAGAAAGCCAGAGGACCAGGAGAGAGGTGATGGGGTGAGAGTCCAGCTCAATCAGAGGGGCTATAAAGATCGCCGGAGGAGGGCATGCGAACGTGGCCACCTGAAACATTAGGGAGCCTAGAGAGGTCTGGGAGACTGCTGAGACGAGAACGCAGCTCCTTCCGTACCTGGGACACCCGGGCCAATTTGCGCTTGTATTCCTAAAATAAAAACATGCAAACAACCTAGTTAGTGCAAAAATATATCTCCCAGTATATTTGTAAAATAAAAATGTATAATGAAAAAATATAGAATTAAAATTTAATTAAATCAAATTAATTTAATTAAATAAAAAATCATTTTTTAATGAAAATGTTTTTATATATTAAAGATAAGGCTCTTTAAGTGCAACAAGTCTAACTGTTTTTGGAATTTATTAAATTTAATGAACTGTTTAGTTCAGATACGCAAAGTGTGTTTTTACATCACTTTGTTTCAGTTCTCAGTATCTCATTCAGAAACACGCAGCAGCTGTTACCATTTACAATGAGTACAGATACATTAAAACAATATTATCTGCTGTTATTTAAAGCATTTTAACCATTTATATATGTAAAACAGCTTAGATAACATCCAGAAGTTTCTAGAGTCATTACATTTTGTATGATATATATGACTTAATGGATATATTTCAGTATTAGTGAACCTCTGTGATTGTGCCAAAGGCTTAAGTTCTTGACATTTGTGTTTCCTAACAACTGTTTTACAATACTAATGTTTAATTTACATCATTTACAAAGTTTAGGAATGTTATTCTGTTCCATCATGTAAAATTAAGTACATAAAAGTTTTAAAAGTTACTTCTCTTCAACTTGCCTACACGTTTAATTAAACACTAGAATGTTTACTATTGTAAAGAATTAGAAAAGCATCTCAGAACTAGAGTTTTAAATCATGATTTCAATTTTAATTTACAACAAAATCTTTTTCAACTGTAATACATGTCTGTCAGATAGACATGTTAGAAGCATGTTATAAATAAGACTAATTTAATTACAAAAATTACAAGACTGTACCTTTGTATATAGTTAATGTTTGTTCTACTACAACATAAAGTAAACTATACATAGCACAGACTTTTAACGGAAATGAAATATGGACTACAATGATGCAATGACAGGATAACTATAACTTTTCTAACCTTTAAGAGTGCAATCAGACTTTAAGGAGTTCAGCTGAAAGCTTAACTTAAAACCAATATATAAATGCATGAATTATGCTTATAAAAACGATCTTTTCAGATGTTTACTTTCATATTTTTATTTCTAGATGATGAACCGTGTATAAAAGGTTTAATTTAAATAAAAATTCTATAGATTAACCAACACATTTGGCATTATGAACTAACAACGAACCATCTTTTACAAGCATTTGGTAATCAGCATTTGTAAACATGCTATTGTTCTTTAGTTAATACATTTTGAACTAACAATGTTAATATTAACCAAGAATAATAAATGCTGCAAAGGTGTTCATTGTTTAAATCATGTTAACTATAGTAGAACTAAAGTGTTACAGAATAACCACAGCCAGTTTCTTAAGTTATTTCACTCAATAAGGATGTATTTGTGAAAGCCAGTGCATAAGCAAAAAAGATGCACACTCAAGAGATTGGTGTTTTTTTCTTTTATTTTTATTTATTCTGTAAAGGCGACATCAGGTGGAACACAGGAACCTGCTCACTACCTGTTGGCAAAGGCTGGAAAATGAAGCAGTTAATGTCCATAAAACTTTTTACGAGAACTTAGTGTTTATACTTACCAGACCAATAATGCAAGTCTCAAGTTAAGAGATATCTAGCGCTGCATTAGCTAAAATTACTTGATACTGGAGTTTCACTGCCCTCCATGGGCAAAACAAACCTAAATATGAAGCAACCACATGCAGCTATGATCACAGTGACAACATGAACATAAGTATAAATGAAAGAAGAGAAGAAAGAAACTGACATGTAAAGACAGCAACTAAGGATAAAAAAAGAAAAGGAAAGAAAATGTGAAGTCAGTAAGTTTACCCACTTCTAGTTTCTGCTCATTCTGGGCCAGGCCGTCTCTCTGACTCTGCAAAAAGACGGCAAGCGTGCGTGTGAGCTGCCGCCGATCATCAATCTCTGCCGCCAACCGCCCGCTGTAGTCAGCTAGAAGCATGCAGGCCTCTTCCACCAACCGAGAAAGACGCTCCCCTGACTCTTTATCTGAAAAAATACAATCAGGACAGACTTAGACTGTCAGAATGGTTAACTACATATGATTTTTTAAGCTTTCTGTATAGTACTGCAAAGATTAAGTATTTTTGTAGGTCAAAACCCAGATACAAGTTAGCTTCTTTTTTTTTTTGAGGGAATCAGGGTCATGCTAACTTTTGGGTTGGCCTAAAAAAATGTCATCACTGCAACACTCTATTAAAGGGTTAGTTCACAAAAAATGAAAATTCTGTCATTAATTACTCACCTTCATGAGAGTAATTAATGACAGAATTTTCATTTTTGGGTGAACTAACACTTTAATATCAGATGAGTTTCAGTCTATAAGTTAATTAAGCCTATATAAATTAAATCACTGCTTATCAAGTACCAATCTCCAGTGTGCAGTGTTGCCATAATTAAGCTTAAGTTGCAGGTGTTTTCTGTGAGAACTGGTCATTTGCGCAATAAAAATGAGTTTTTTCATGTACACATGCAGACAGACACACTTTGCTGTTGCGTAACATTTCATGCTATGAACACTGTATTTGTCAAGTTAAAGGGGTCATATGATGCTGCTAAAAAGAACATTATTTGGGGACCCCAGCGTTCTGTTCCAATTGAGCAATTACATTCTGTGCTCTAATGTGCTGACACCATGAAATATCAATTCAAAATTTGATTTTTAATTAATTCTGTTTCTGTTGCATTTACTTAGTTCTGTCATTCTGGTGTTCTCACCTGTAACTTTGTGCAAAAGGGAGGTGTCCTGCACCTCTGGGGGTAGAGCAGAGATCCTCTGGCGGAGAGCTGCGTCACTGGAGGCTGCGTTCTCAAGCTCCTGTAGTGCTCGGATCAGATCTGCAGTCTGAGATAGGGATGCAACGATTATAGATTTTGTTGGTACGATTATTGTCTGAGGAATAATCACGGCTTTCCGATTATGACAATTATTATGCATTTATTCATTTCCCAACATTACTAATGTATAAAATCACATGAACACTTTTTAGATATTAAAGTGTTATTTATTGCTCGCTTTTGAAACAAAAATAACACAGTAACCAACAATACAGCACAAAATAATAATAAACAAAAGACAAAAAGCATCATATGACCCCTTTAATATTTTCAGTTTGTACATTCTTTACATTTCTTTTGGACCTGGGGTAGAGAATTTGGAAACATGGTGAAAAAAAAATCTTGTTGGTTTTACTTATGAATAATACTACAACAGGGATAGCAAATAACAAAGTTAATGAAGTAGCCTGTTATTAATATACGACTACTATTAACTTTATTTGTCCCACAGGGAAAACTGTTACTAATTATGGAAATAAACTGAAATATTATTGTAATCAACTGTCATCCATACGTATTAATTTTAATAATCTTTATAATAATTCATATGATTTTACATGTGGCCTGAGAAAATCATCTGTATTATTTTGGTTTGTGAGATCGGAGATCGCGCTGCGCACGTGTACAAACATTCAGGAGGACACAAACTTCTTGAAAATGCTGCCCCGTGACTTTTATTAATAAAATAGATTAAAATAGCCTACTGGAGAGACGCACAGACGCAGGTAGGCTAAAGGCCCTTTCACACGGTGCGCGGCAGTCGCGAGTGTCTAGTTCATTCTCAATGGGAGACATGCGGAAAGCGGCAAAACGCGGGCGGTTTCGCTGGCGGCGCGGAGGCGGAGCGCAAGCGGTGCTCGTGCACCCAAAATCCTGCCGCTTCCACGG